GGAGGCGGAGGCGGAGGAGGAGGAGGAGGAGGAGGAGGAGGAGGAGGAGGAGGACGAGGACGGGGCGGAGGAGGAGGAGGAGGAAAAGCATGAGAAGGATGAGGAGGAGGAGGAGGAGGAGGAGGAGGAGGAGGAGGATGAGGAGGAGGATGAGGAGGAGGCGGAGGAGACGAACGCGGAGGCGGAGGCGGAGGCGGAGGAGGAGGAGGACTCGGCGGAGGAGGAGGAGGAGGAGGAGGAGGAAGAAGAGCAGGAGGAGGAGGAGGAGGAGGAAGGCGAGGAGGAGGAGAAGGAGGCGGAGGAGGAGGAGGAGGAGGAGGAGGACGAGGACGAGGACGAGGACGAGGACGAGGAGGAGGAGGAGGAGGAGGAGGAGTAATAATAATAATGATAATAATAATAAGAATCATTCTAATGCTAGTACTCGTAGTAATAATAGTAATACTAACAATAATATTAATACTTATAATACTAATGATGCTAATAATATTAATAATCACACTGCCACTACTAATACCAGTACTAATACTACTAACAGTGCTAATAATACTACTAATACTAGTAATATTACTCATACTAATCATACTATCAATCATAATACTATTAATACTAACAATAATAATAACAATCATCATACTGATAAAGTATTACGAATACGAATATTAAGAATACTAGTGCAACTAATATTTATTTCAAGCATACTAATACCAAGAATAATACGACGATGAACCCTAACACTCATACTAGTAAGCATACCATGCATACTACGAATACTAATACTAAGAAGACTATTAATAAGAGTAGGAATAATAATAAGCATAACAATACGACGAATAATACTAACAATACGAATAACATATCACAATAGTCATGATAATTTCAATGCTACTACGAAGAATAACAAGACGACGACTAATAGTAATACTAATGATACTAATACTACTAAAAATAATACTAATACTACTACGACTACTAATAATAACAATATAATAACAATAAAAACAACAATAAAAATACACATAATATTAATAATAACATTTTCTTTAGTAATAATAATACATAAATAATAATACTAATAATAATACTAATACTAATAATAATAGTAATAATAGTTAATAATAATGATACTAATAATAATACTAATGATACTAATAATAATAATAGTAATACTAATACTACTACTAATAATAATAATAATAATAATAATAATACTGATAATACTAACAATAATAATAATAATGTTAATATTAAACATAATAATAACAACTAATAAAAAAGCTAACATTAATACTAATAAGAATAATAATACTAATACGACTAATAATAAAAAGAAGAATACGAATACTAATAATAATTAGAATAATGATAATACAACGAATAGTACTACTAATAAAAATAGTAAGAATACTAAGAAACATAAGAGGAGGAGGAGGAGGAGGAGGAGGAGGAGGAGGAGGAGGAGGAGGAGGAGGAGGAGGAGGAGGAGGAGGAGGAGGAGGAGATGTGGTCGTGTGAGGATCTAGGGGGGGATGAGGAGCAGGAGGGGGATGAGGAGGAGGAGGAGGAGGAGGCGGAGGAGGAGGCGGAGGCGGAGGGGAGGAGGAGGAGGAGGCGGAGGAGAAGGAGGAGGGGAGGGGAGGAGGCGGAGGAGGAGGAGGAGGAGGAGGAGGAGGAGGAGGAGGAGGAGGAGGAGGAGGAGGAGGAGGAGGAGGAGGAGGAGGTGGGCTGATGCGTTAGAATACAATCGTGCCTGCAGAGCGGGAACCACGGCGGGCCTCCCGTCGGACCACCTGCCAGCCAGTGTGGTATTCTCGGGCTCCTCTCGGGAGCATATCTGGTGCTCATTTGGGGCCTCTTGAGCCCTCTCGGGCTCTCTCGGGGCCTCCTGAGTTGCTTTTGTACTCTCCACTTTGGAGCGCTCTCAGGCTGGGGTGTCTCCACGGGGACCCGGGCCTTCGGCGAGGTGGCTCGCGCTCTTGCCCCCATGTCTCGACTGCCTGCGCCGATCCTGCCCCAGTCCCAGCCAGGATCGGTCGATATTGAACGATCTGTCGTTTCGGAATCGGCCGATCAACGTCCGATCGTTCTGCCAGCTTGAACGATCCCTTCGGTGTCAGGCCAGCGGTAGCGCCGACACGACGCGAACCAGCCGTAGAATTCGTGCGGAGTTCCGAAGGTTTGTTCCGCCAGGAAAACAGGGGGGATCGGGAAAAGGAGGAGGTATGCACATGGGTGTGTCGAGCCAGCGGAGAAAAATATAGAGGTGCTCCGCAACGCAGACAGGGGGGTGCAACTGCATCGCATCAGCGCGTCCTGCCTCGTCGGTCAAAATGTGCCTCAAGCGGGGATATGACATCTGCCGCATGCAGCTGGTCTCGGCCCCGTCGTCGGGCGCCCATCCTAGGTGCACTGGCGCCTGCGGCGCTGGAAGGTGCTGGGATAACCATATTCGCGAGCGGACTCGCTACACGCCGGTCGTTGAGTATTTTTGGATTTCCAGGTCCCAATCTACTTCAAGCGCCTTCCTACTTCAAGAATCGGCATGCTTTTGCTATGATTTGACATTCTCTGGGAGGACCTGGACCCAATCTACTATATCCGCCTTCCTACTTCATGTTTCTACCTACTTCTTCCGACCGACGTGTACCCTCTCTTTGCCCTTGCTATTCCCCTCCTGTCTCAGCGGGCGACGAGCGGTGTACCATACCTGTCCCGCCATCGTGGACGCCTGCCTCGGGGCGGCTGGACGTGCCTCCGGAGGGGTGTGCTCTTTCCAGCCCGCCTGCGGCAGGCTTGCCCGATGGCGAACAGAGTTGTCTGATATCGTTCTTCGTCCGCGGACGTTCCTCGGCCCGAGTTCCCCGAGTCGGGCCTTCCTGATTTCATGGCCACCATCGGCCGAACCAAACATAGTGGCCACCTTGGAGCAATCTGTGCCTCAGGCTCGGCACCCCGAGCACGAAGCGCCCCGAGCCCATCCAGGCAGGTGGCCCAGGAGGAAACCTAGGCGGGGCGTGAGGCGACAGCGAACGCGTTTGTATCCTCCTCCCTGCTCACGCGGGGCTCTTTCTCCGCACAAGTGACCCCGAAACCACGCTGGGGGTGGTCGGGCGGGGCCAGGACGAGGACAAATCCGCTCCAGAGTGTTCCGGAACGCTCCTAGAGCGATCGTAACGATTTGAGAAGGCGCGGCGTCCGAGACATCCTCCAGAGCCGCCAGATCTCAGAGGTCCTCGACTTTCTCCTCATCCGTTTGCACCCTCGTCCTGGCTTCGTCTTCTTCCTTCTCCGCGCAAGTGACCCCCCACGCCACGCGGAGGGTGGGCACCTCCTCCTCCTCCTCCTCTTCCTCCTCCTCCTCCTCCTCCTCTCCTCCTCTTCTCCTCCTCCTCCTCTCCTCTCTCCTCTTTCTCTTTCTCCTCCCCTCCTCCTCCTCCTCTCTCCTCCTCCTCCTCCTCCCCCCCCCCCCCTCCCCTCCGCAGCTTTCGAAGCCCGCGGCCCCAGTCGGGTCGCAGCTCCGGCCCGCCCCTGCTCTGCGCCCTCCGCTCGGGCGTCGCGCGCGCCGGTCCAGCGCCAGAGGTCAGCGAGATTGTGCGGTCCGTGTACGGCAAGGAGCCCCAGCGGCCCGGCCGATGCGCTGGCGCAGGGGGACAATCGACTACTGCTCGGGGACGGCAAAGAGGGGGGTGATGACTAGGAGGGGGATATCATGGCGGGAGCCATGATGTTTCCCTAGGTTTCATGGCGCCTCTTCTTATTTCAATGCGTTCCCTGGCCCCCCCCCGCTGGGCCGCGCACATGCCACCGGCCATGATTTGCACCTCCCCTCTTGGACACCCCCCTCTTGGCCGCTCCCGATGTACGTAAGAGTACTAACGGTCACTCCTGCCTAGGGCCACCCTTGCATGTAGCCGAGACAATGGGGGGGCAGCAGCAGCAGCAGTGGTCAGTGGTTCGCCCAGGCGAAGAGGAGGTGGCGGGTGTCGAGGAGGATCGGGTCGGAGGTGGAAGCGGGTCAAGGAGGCAGAGTAACGTGGGTTGGACGAGCGAGCGAAGAGGATCGGGTCTGGAGGATCGGGGTGGACTAGGAGGCGAAGAGGAGGAGGATGAGGAGGAGGACGAGGAGGAGGACGAGGAGGAGGAGGAGGAGGAGGACGAGGAGGAGGAGCATGAGGAGATGGTGGTGGTGGTGGTGTGTGGATCGAGGGGGGTCGGGTCGGGCGAAACGGGCAGGTCGGCAAAGGGTGGGTACGCAATTTGGTGCATGCAGCTCGTGTCGGTCCCGCCCCTCGGCTGTTTCCTAGACACACGGGTGCCTGCGGCGCTGGAAGGCGTTGGGGAGACTGGCTACGACACCAGGGGCACCCAGGGTCCCCTGCATGGCGCCTCCACTCCCAGAGCGTCCGGAGGCTCCTCGTGGCCCTGACCTTCGGCTGTGGGGGCCCCTCCAAGTCTCTCAGTGCCCTCCAAGGCGTCGCAAAAGAGGGGTGCAAGACGGTCCAGGACTGCTTCAAGACGGTCCAGGGAGCTGCTCCCTCGGCGCTCCAACAGGCCCCCATTACTTCCCCAGGAGGCCCCCAGAGGACCCCAAGGTGTCCTCGGAGGTCCTGATGACTCTCTCGAGATTTTCCGCCTCCCCCCCAGACAACGTAAGACGGTCATTCAGCCACGCGCGGAGGTGGGTAGGGAGAGGGGGGAAGGCTTCTTAGACACACCTTTATTTCTTTGAAGGCGCAGGCCTTGTGTGTATGTAGGGCCGGCACCTTCTCAGAAGTAGCCTCCTTCTTTGACGCCTTTCCCCGCCCTCCACCGACCCCCGTGTGCGCGCCGGCAACTAACCCGATCACCCGGCCTGCTCGTGCCTTCGGCGACGAACGCCGCCTTGGCTTCGAAACCCATAACGTTCCTTCTCGATCGGGCACGGCCTGTCTGCTCCGCCCAACGCCAGGCTCCAAGTCAGACAGAAATTCAGTGCGCGCGAAGCGCACGCGATGGTTATAGTATATATGTGCATGTTTATGTGCACGTAGTTCTTTTCATGTAGGCATCTACATAGAAGAAACGAGATACATGCACATATATAGTGAAACACACATAAAAACATAGACAGAGAGAGACAGAGAGAGAAAGAGAGCGAGACAGAGAAAGAGTGAGATATACGCAACTGTGGGTGCAGAGATCCATTGGTAAGTGAGCGAGCGATTTGAGATACGGGACTTCTTGTGGGAAGGGAGACATCGAGCGTGTCGGGGGAGTGAGTGAGTGAGGGAGGGATGGGGGGCACAGAGAGACAGAGAGATAGAGGTTATGCTTGGGTATGTACAGCCGCATGTATAGTAGGTCTTCCCACACATGTAAAACTTTAGATCCATGTGCTTATGTAGGCAATGCCAGCTTGTGATTAGTGAATGATGCCTTCCGGAGCTGATGAATAGACCCCAAGGGGCGCGACACTCTTTTGTGATCATGCGTGCCAGGGAGTCATCGCGGGCACCGTTGAGGGGATCGTCGACCCCTCTGCTCGGCAGCCTTCAAACGATTGTCTTTTCCGTGCAGGTATTGTAATGGGGATCGTATACAACACAGGCGCAATTTTCCCTCTCAGGCTGATTGCTGATTCGCCATAGTCGTCGACGTCGTCGTCGTGGAGAAAAGCGGGCCTGCGTAGCAGCCCCCCCATGGGGCATCTGCAGTGTGTCTTTCTCGTAGTCGTCGTAGTCGCCGCCACCGCCGCCGCCACCGCCGCCGCAATGTCGATTACAATGGGCTGCACAACCCCCCCCATGAGGCATTCGCAGTGCATCGTCGTCGTCGTCGTCGTCGTCATCGTCGTCGTCGTCGTCGTCGGCGGCGGCGTCCTCGTCCTCTCGTCGTCGTCGTCGTCGTCGTCGTTGTTTTCGTCGTCGTCGTCGTCACTGTCATCGTCGAATGCACCGGGCCTACGCAGCCCCCCACGCCCCCATGGAGCACCCGCAGCGCTTCGTCGTCCGTCGTCGTCTCGTCGCCGTCGCCGACGTCGTCCGTCGTCGTCGTCGTCGTCGTCGTCGTCGTCGTCGTCGTCGTCGTCATCGTAGGCTGCAGTGGGCATACGCGCAGCGGCCCTACCGCCCCATGGTGCATCTGCTGTGCGTCGTCGTCGCCGCCGCCGCCGCCGCCGCCGCCGCCGTCGTCGTCGTCGTCGTCGTCGTCGTCGTCGTCGTCGTCGTCGTCGTCGTCGTCGTCGTCGTCGTCGTCGTCGTCGTCGTCGGCGTCGTCGTCGGCGTCGGCGTCGGCGTCGGCGTCGGCGTCGGCGTCGGCGTCGGCGTCGGCGTCGGCGTCGGCGTCGGCGTCGGCGTCGGCATCGGCATCGGCTTCGGCATCGGCATCGGCGTCGGCATCGGCATCGGCGTCGGCTTCGGCGTTGGCGTCGTCGTCGGCGTCGGTTCGGCGTCGGCGTCTGCGTCTGCGTCGGCGTTGGGGTCGGCGTTGGTGTCGTTGTCGGCGTGGGCACCGTCGTTGTCGTCGTCGTCGTCGGCGTCGACGTCGTCGTCGCCGTCGTTGGCTACAGCGGGCCTGCGCGGCAGCCCCCCCCAAAGTGCATCCGCAGTGCGTCATCGTCGTCGCCGGCTATATCGTGCCTGCGCAGTACCCCTTGTGGGGCATCCGCAGTGCATCGGCGTCGTCGTCGTCGTCGTCGGCGGCGGCGTCCTCGTCCTCTCGTCGTCGCCGTCGTCGTCGTCGCCGTCGTCGTCGTCGCAGTCGCCGTCCATTACGGCATTTCCAAGGACGGCAGGGACGACGTCGACGACGACGACGACGGCGACGATGACGACTACAGCGGGCCTACGCAGACCCCCAAGGAACATCTGCAGTGCGTCGTCGTCCGTCGTCGTCGTCACCGTTGCTGTCGCCGCTGCCGCTGCCGCCGCCGCCGGTGCCGTCGTCGTCGTCGTCGTCGCCGTCGTCGTCGTCGTCATCGTCGTCGTCATCGTCGTCGTCGTCGGCGTCGTCGTCATGCTGTAGTGGAAGGGGGTGAAAGGGGCGGAAGCGGAAAACGAATGGCCGTTGCCGCCTACCGCTTCCGCTCAACCCCCCACCGTTCGTCTTTTCGTTTGTAACCATTGCGGCGCCGCCCGCTAGCTGTGAGGCGCCTTTTCCTCCCACGCCCTCGGCGTCTCGTGTCTGTGAGCCTTTCGGGCCCAGGCGATGTCCTGGGCTTGCCCCAACTATTTCTTCAGAGCGGCAGCAGTCGTGGCGGGCCTTGTGTGGCTCGTTCTTGCAATTGTCAGTTCAGTCCGTATGATGTCAACCCGCAGGCGCGTCCCCGCGGGAATATCAGAAGAGTGATGTGTGCAAGGGCCCAATATTCCCCATGTGAGGCTGCCAGGCCTGCGGCAGGACCAGAAATTGCGTTTGCCGGGTTCGCTGCGTGCGTGGACAGGGTGCGTCCGCCAATCTTATTATGAAAGAGAAAAGCTTCGCTAGCCGAGGGGTTGTTGATGGTGGCCCTAGTAATGTTGGCGGGGCCGTCAAGCCTATGGGGTGTCGGAAGATGGACCAACTCGAGCAGCAGCTGGTTGAAGTCAAGCATAATCTCGCGCAGTTCACCAAGCAGTCTTCGACCACGGGGTGGGATCATACGCCAGGAGGTACATCGTCAGGCAGTTGCTTGCCGACTGTGGGCGCAGGCGCCAGTGGTGCCAGCCGCCCCCATGTTCGGCGGGCACGACAGCAGCGGCCACGCCAGAATCCAAAAGGTTCGCGGCGGCGCAGGCCGCGCTCCTCGAGCAGGCGATCAAGCGTTGCAAGGGTGACCCCGTGCCCAGTGTGCGCAGTCAGTTGGCGAGCCAGCGCGCTCTGGCATGTGAGGGGGCGAGCCGTCTTGATTCGATTCTTGCGTCTATGGATATAGACAACACCTTTCTACAAGGCCCAGCGGGCCGCGAACTCGCCGAAACTCTTAGGGGGCGGGGGCGCATTGTCTGCTTTGCCCTGCCATCGCGCTCTGCCTCTGCACTCCGAACTATGCCTCGATCGGAGAAGTGCGATGACAACAAGCATCGCCGGCTGAGCCTTAAAACCAGGCGCGGAGACGAAGGGCGCCCCGCGCGCCTTCTCCTAATTCGCGCAACATCGCGCGGTGCTTCGGCGTGCGAGCTACATCTGGCGACGGAGAGCTCAAAGCAGCGGCTGTGCTATTGACGGCTAAACGCGTGGACGGTATGATTACGATTGGTAAGGTTGAAACTGTCGACGGCTACGTGAAAAAGCGTTGAACGCACGTTCGGCACGCGTGAACCCAGCAGATACAGCAACACCGTTTGTGCCTTCATATACGCGAAGAAACTAAAATGGCGACGCAGCGATGGATCAGGACAATAACATAAACATGTCCGACCCATCCAACATTCAGAAGTCTAGACGCTTCGCGTATCCCCACCAGCCCATCCAGAAATGATGCCCAGGGGAATTGAAGTGATCAGGGACGTGAGGGAGCATACAGAGTCTCAAAGGGCTGGGGACCCGTCTTACTCCAAGAGGGGGAGGATGGAGGACGAATCGGAGGAGGATGAGAAGGAGGAGGAAGTGGAGGAGGAGGAGGGGGGGGGAGGAGGGAGGAAGGACAATATCTGCCGGGGGGGAAGGGAAGGGGGAGGAGGGAGGAGGGGAAAGGGGGAAAAGGGAACCCCTGGCCGGCAGTTTGTTCGCATTTTTTTTTGAATGTCCATCGTCGCCACGGCTGGATGTTCTGCGAACTGTTGAGATAACTGATGCTTTCTTCATTTTTTCAGACGTGAGCCTTTGGCCTCGTCAGCTGCAGGAGCCTCTGGCCGGCAGTTTTTTTTCAGACGTGAGCCTCTGGCTTCGTCAGCTGCGGGAGCCTCTGGGGGGTCTCTTGGGGGCCTCTTGGGGCCATCTTGGGACCACCTTGGGGCCATCTTGGCGCCTCTTGGGGCCTCCTGGGCGCCTCTTGGAGCCATCTTGGAGACGACCGATCAAAAAAGGGGAAGGTCGCGCAATTAGCGTCGCCCCTCGGGAGCCTCACAAATCGCTTCTTGGGCCCATCTTGAGGCGCTCTTGGGGCGCTCTTGGGGCTGTCTTGGGGCCATGTTGGGCCTCTCTTGGGGCCCTCTTGGGCCATCTTGGAGCCATCTTGAGGCCTCGAGTGGCCATCGGAATCGAAAAGGCGAGAAAGCACAACACATCGACTTTCCTCGGTTTTGGAACCATTTTGGCCACTTGGGGGGCCTCCCTGGGAGGCCCCAGGGCCACTTGGAGCCGTCTTGGGGCAGTCTTGGGGCCTCTTGGAGCATCTTGGGAGCCATCTTGAGGCATCTTGGGCTATCTTGAGCCATCTTGGAACTCATCTTGGGCTCTCCGAGGCCCACTTGGGGCCGTCTTGGGCCATCTTGGACGCTCTAACCCCTCGCGGCCCCCCTGTCCAGGTCCAGGGGAGGGGGGTAGGGGGAGGGGTAATCCCTTCCCCGAAGGGGAAGAGGGAAGATGGAAAACAAACTTCTCTAAATCACCTGCGCCCAGAGGGCTGGTGGGATTCTAGGGCGCGGAGGCCGAGGAAACGGTTGCGAAAGTTGTCGCTGACATGTTTGTCAGCCTCCGCGGGGCACTTGCATGTGCCCGTGGCCCATGTCTGGTCGATCGATGGTTTGCGTCGTTTCGCTGCGACGGGCGCGGGGCCCAACGAATCTACAGGCGCGACGGCGTAGCGCGATCACGCGTTAGTTTCGAGCGCAACTTCAGAAGATGGCACGCCCTGCTATGAGGCCCAATGGAGAGTTCGATCTTCGCAGCGACGCTGGCTACCGAGGTCTGACTGGAGTGGCTGAACACGAGGCGAAATCAGGCCTCCAGAGACCAGGGCACGGATAAACCAGGACACGGGGAACCAAGGAAACGACATCTTTTTTTCAGCAGCGCCACATTTGTCAGCACCTGTGCATTTTTGTTTGCTGCGCTGCAGGATTCGGGTCTGCGTTCGTTTTTAGGGGGGTCTCGCGGGCTTTCAGGGCCTGCGCTTCCGTTGATGCTGTGAAGGTTGCAGCGCAGTATGTTGCTCGTGTCGCCGTCTGGAAACATTTGTGACGAGTAATGTTAGGCGCCCAGATATAGCGCGCCCGGGTTTGCGGGGCCCTGGCGGGAGGGCGCGGCGTCAAAGGTGTCCCCCCTCGCTGGCGCGGAAACATGCGCGACGGCAAACCCGTCGCACATGTGATAGATGCCTACTGCGAGTCGCACCGCTGGCAGGTTAGGCCAAGTTTTTCCGCGGAAGCGCTAGCAGCAACCCATTGCTTAGAATATTGCTGCCCGATCATCGCCACTTGCGCGAACTTGCGGCGGGGCCGCTAACGTCGACGCGGCTCAGGGATATCGTGGAGTTTGGCGGCCTGCGCATTGAGGTTACGCTTGCCATTGACGAAAAGTCTGTATTGAAGTCCCTATCTAGTGAGGATCCTAAGACACCTACGGGGCGCCGATATCATTGGCAGGCGACGCGCGGGATAGAACGCGACCGTTGGTAGACTACGACTACATGCAGTATCGAACACCGTTTTTTTCGTTACAGGTAATGGCGGATACGCAATCCTTCAATCACAAGCTGAAAGCGCATGGGCCTTGCAGGTCTCAGACATCGAAGTTTGAGCCTGGCCCTCGATGAGCCGGCGGCGTGCGCGAGTTTTGCGTGGGGACGGACGTGCTGTAATGTTGAGCCTGTTTATTGTTTCCAGCTTTATTTTTGTCCTTTGCGCTCTGTGCCTCATGTCGTTATCCGCGGGTCCGCGCCGCGTTTCTTTAGTCTGCCATGCTATGGCCTTGCAAACCCGACGTTGGCTTTTGGCCACGTCGGGCCTTGCCTGTGCTCTCTTTGCTAAATGCTGACTTCGCTGACCCGAGCTGGCGCTTGGCCGACTCGGGCTCTGCAGTTGTTTTACGCGTGGGGGCGCGCCCTTGTCAGTAACATTCTACAGACCCAACTTGGCACTTGGTCGAGTTGGGCGCGGTTCGCTACGGTTCCTACTTATACCGCTTGCGAGCTCCATGGTTTTCAAACGGCTCAGATCTACCTTCTTCAGGTCCTGCGCGCGTGCATATATCAATGCAGGTTGACACTCGCTACTGCTCGTCTCTTCCCCCCCCTTCGATTCTGAAATGAGATCATAGGATTGGGATATACATACAGCGATCGTAGCGAGCGTCCCGGTGGTGGTCGGCTCAATCACTGGTGTTCGATGTGCTTGGTCTGCGGACCAGTCCAATGTTGCATTGGAAACAGGAGAATGCACTCTTCTACCTCTAGCAGTCCACCTACCATCCCATGGTCCTGTCGCTTCTTTTTACGACGACGGCAGTTTAACCGATCACAAGCCTGGTGTCCTTTCAGTTTTTGTCCAAGAGCGCTTTGTAGGGTTGTCGTGGCCGTCCAGGTAATCCAACGAAGCTCGCGTGGCCTTTTTGCGATTGCTGTTCTGCCGTCGATGTGTCGGTTGGGATTCACGGCCGTCACGGGAGCAGCGTTCCTGGTCGATTTCGTTGACGAACCTGACGTTTGCAGCCCCTCCAGAAATTGACGGTGATGAAGATCGAGAAAAGAGAGTGAAGGGGGGAGGTTTGTGGAGGGCGAGGGAGAGGAGGAGGAAAAGGAGGCGGAGGAAGAGGAGGAAGAGGAGGAGGAGGGGGAGGAGGAGGAGGAGGAAGAGGAGAGGGGAGGAGGAGGAGAAGGAGGAGGAGGAGGTGGAGGAGGACAACGAGGAGAAGGAGGAGGATATGGACAACGAGGAAAGGGAGGAGGAAGGCGAGGCGGAGTTGGTTGGTGGGGTAGACAGACGAGAGGGGAGGAGGAAAAGCGGGGGGGAATATGAGGAGGAGGAGGGCGAAGAGGAGGGCTATGATGAGGAGGGTGGGAAAAAAGGGGGGTGGGATAAAAGGTTTGCACTTGACCGAATGAAAACAGCACCGCGGATATCAGTCGCGCGCTGTTTTTTCTATTCGCTCGTGCTTCTCCATTCGTTCGTGCCTTCCTGCGCTCGCCCGTTTCTCCCTTCCTCCTCTGAAGAGGGCTACGCGGGACGCCAACCCCCGCTCCGGGCATTCCCGCGGCCAGTAGGGCGTCCCGCGGCGGTTTTCCCTTCCCTCCCCTTTGGGCGCGCGCGGAGGATCCCAGCAAGGCCGTCAACCCTGACGAGGCCATCAGTCATTGTCGCCGCCGCCAGCACCGTTTTCTTCCTCGTTGTCTTCGTCGTCGTCGTCGTCGTCGTCGTTGTCGTTGTTGTCGCCGCCGCCGCCGCCGCCGCCGCCGCTGTTGCCGTCGTCGTCGGTGGCGCCGGCGGTGTCGCAGTCGGCGTCGGCGTCGGCATCGGCGGCGTCGGCGGCGGCGTCGGCGGCGCCGTCGGCGGCGGCGTCGCCGTCGCCGTCGCCGTCGCCGTCGCCGTCTCGTTGCCGTTACCGTCGCCGTCGCCGTCGCCGTCGTCGTCGTCGTCGTCTCTGTCGTCGTCGTCGTCGTCGTC